TTGTCATTCAAAAAAGTAAAAAACTTAAAAAATTATAAGGATAAAAAATATTAAAAAAACATAATTTTTTAATAAAAATGTTGTTTTTTTAACAACATGAAACTCTGTAAAAAAAACATTGATACTTTTTGAAATAATGAGTGTTCAATGATAAAAGAATCACCCGGTATATTTAAACGAAAAATAATTACGATTTTAGTTGTTTTTTTGTGACTAAAAAAATATTATTCTTGGGAAATTGAAGCATATTATTATATTTTTAACAAACAATGATGACATTTAAAATGTAATATTTTTGGCAAAAAATAATTCAAACTCCATAAGTGCTTAAAGTACTAACACAGTAATACTATTAGTAATTGTCTAATAGTCTATTACTATTATTACTAAAAGTAAAATAATATTTTAATATAAATTATATCATAAAATGTACTTGGTAATATTGATCTCTTCTTTCGCAATCGTTTATCGCATGCAATGATTTATTATCGAATTCAAATCGAACACAAATATTACAGTGCATGGCGGTTATTACTTAATAACGAGAAATGGTTACCTACTTCTCCCTTTTTTTGTGGTGTTAATTAGTGTTCCAGAGTGAGAGTTACATATAATAATATAATATTCTCCAATTCTCCATTAAGGTATCAAGAATATGTGAATACACAAAGGGACTAGCCAAAAAGTTTGAGTTATACAATAATTGTATAATTATTATAGAAAATTCCAGGAACTTGGAAAAGGTTTGAGGTATCGACTATTTCGAGTTAACCAAGTTTCGCTGTATGATGATAACATAATTATTGTCCATTGATGTTTCTAATTGTATTAGTTGTCTTGCTGACTGACTCACCACTCCAATAAGTACACTCCCACTATTGCATCCGGTATAATATATATTAATTAATGATTAGTAATAACAACCATACAGCATGAGTTACAGTAAAGGACGCATACTGATTTTAAAGTAGGTAGGTACAGGTATGTAACATATAAATATATTATGAAATTTAAGAACAAACTTACTTTGAATATTTTGTTGAATACTTGTCTATTTAAATAAATCATATATTTTTTTTTTTTTTGATAATCATTTAACTAAAAATTGTATTTTTGTTTTTTTAAATTATAATAACTCTTTAAACCAGGAAAGCTACTCATTTGCATCATGTATAATAATTTTCGTGTATACTTTATCATTGAGTTAGATGCTGTAAGACCAATTTATGAAGAACCATATATTAAAATTGTAATGTTAATCTATATAAAAATAAAAATTTTTATTAATTTTAAGCTTCATAATAATTTGTTATCGCTCATTATATTTCGATTTTATTTTTAAAATCTTAAAATTACTATACTTAGCAGCTAGTATAGCTATATTTTAATACTATGCTTATAAGAACTTTGTATTGGATACATTTATAACGTTTTTACTAAGCATCAACATTTAAAGGTAAAAAAATTCAAACATAAAATGTCTATAAGCCGCAAAATATTTTGAAAACTATATATATCTACATCTAAAAATGTATAATATCATTACATCATTGGATTGTCTGATACGTGAAGCTTTTCAAACTATCAAATGTGTTTTATGCATCATATACTGTTCCAATACGATTGTTGTTAAACTTTAAACATTTTTTATGTAAATTTTTACCTATTTCTATAGTAATATGGCAAAAAAATCTATACTTAAATTTCAATAGGTATATAAAGATATAGGTATTGTATTTTCATTTTTGATCTATACAATGTCGTTATGAGGGGCATGGGGCTTACATGTTTTAAACTTTTAAATAACACGAGACTAGGAATTTTCTTACAGTTCAACCAATTTTTTTAAATGAAATATTTATAAAATAATAGTCTATAAAAAAAACATCTTTTGGGATATTATTTACAAAAACATATACTATAACAATACGAATTGATTGACCTTGACCCCAAGAAAAAGCCAGAAATGATTGTATTTCATGGAAATACTCTAGTTTTCCTTGAAAATACCTAAATTATAAACACTATAGGTATACTTTCACCGTGTCCCTAAAATATACGTCTTATCAGATCCCGAACACAAACAAAGAACATCACCGCTTAAATCTAGAACTTTCACTCGCTCGTGTCACATTAGACATACTTTCACCTACATTTATGCGTGTGTTACATAAATCATGACAAACAATATAATGGGCAATTTTTTTTCATTCACAACAAATAACCCATATAACCTACGTATATTTTTGGGTAACAATGGGGTTTTTGCTTTCTAAATACTAGATCCTTGAGATTTTTGTGTCGCAAATAATATTATAATATATTACCACGGGTACGTTGATCCAGGTACCATGCACCATGATTGAGAGTTAAAATCGCAAGGTAAATCTGGAAATTTGGCTCTTGCATTACGATACGGTTTTGTGCAGGTGCTATAACCATCGTAACCGTAACCATTGAGCTCCAACGGCAGCTGAAAAAAATATAATATATTTTATTATGTATAGCAAAAATAATATAATTGTTTCGTAGATATAATCTATTTTAAAATATTTATATAAGCATTTAAAATTTTTTTTGAAAATTTCAACGCAATATCAAAATTTGAGAAAAGCATGACCTGCTTTATGTGTTATATAGGAGCAGTATGTCGGGCAGAAGAAAGGAGACGTGAAAGTTAAGCGCTGGCATTGGAAACTGTGCCATGTGGCGGCCGACGGTGATTTTTATTGTGCACGCAATGTCAAGGTGCCTCAACATTGCAAGGATGAACAACGATTATTTTTCGTCTCGTGAAGCATAATAATATACACTAAATAACTATAAAATATGCGTATATATCATACACTATGTGAACAATGGCTATCATGTTTTAGTTACGGTTCCCGGTGTCGAAAATAAAACGGTCGGATTTCCAATTAACGTCTTCAGCAAAAATGTATACATGCATGTGAAAACGTCACCGACGATTTTCGTATACATATTTATTCAATTAAACACAAAATAAAGGCATATTATTATAACCACTCTCSAAACAGTCAAAGACCTCCTCCAGTGGTGTCTCTATTTCACAAGGACGAATGAATTATTAATTCATGTACAGGTGCAGTACACCACGCGTCTGCGCTTTATAGTATGTTGTGCAGCAGTGTAATAATAATACATGGAAACAATATTGTAATATGGGTACGAGCCGCTAGTTTCGCAATAAATTCGCGGATTCGACCTCTGCGCGGTCAATGATGAACGTTATTTTTTTTTTGCCACCAATCTGGTCTGACCACTTTAAAACGCACTCTACGTCACGTTTTACGTACCTATATATGCACACAGTTGTTTCGGATTTTGCTTGTGAAGATCGCACTCGATATGGGACCGTAGTGGTTATGTTTTATTTTTTGCCTATTTTTTGATAGTACCTAATTATTATTTCAATACATTTTTAAACTAATATAGTAATATATATATTTTTAAAGCTTTATACTTGAGAAATGTACACAGACAATGTTATAAAACATTGCATTTGGGCATATCCGTTGTCCGATGGTTTGCAATAATAAAACTAATGAGCAATGTACTATTATATAGCTATATAGTCTATAATGACTAATGAGTAATGAGTAATGAGTAATGAACTAATGACCAACCAGTTAGGTTGATCCATTTGTCGTAACGGCCTACGAATCTGGATTAGTAAGGTTTTAGCTATAGCTTTATAAGCACAAAGGTATACGATTTACCTATACACCGGAAACGAGGAAAGAAAACTATACTTTAAAGTTAAATCATAACACGACATTTGGAATAGACAATAATAATTATAAATTGGTAACATATCGGGCAATGACAGACGGACTACAGAACATTTTCAAACGGTACCGCGAAAAAATAACCCCGTAAATTTAGACCCCGAAAAAAAGAACCCCGAATAAATAACCCCGTGAAAAAATAACCACAGAAAAAATAACCCCAAATGAGATTTTGCAAATTAATCTAAATATTGGTRTTAATATGTCATTGCGTGAAAAAAATTAAAAAATGTTTAATATACCTATTACCTACGTACAATTTTTATGTTCCTACGAATAACGTTAATTTTGAATTCAATGATAAATTATTAATTACCTACGATAAAAACGATTCAGAGCACGATGCCAGTCTGTCATATCGATCAGATGTATAATAACAAGGTACAGCGRCAATGTGAAATAATATTTTAATGGATAAGAAAGGTACCTTTATCTTTAATGTTCTGATAAAAGCGGTAATTTATAAAATTTGTCAAGTCCTGTGAGTTCATTTCTCAGTATTAGGTACTACAGTGTGCTCTCGTATATTATATATTTCTCTGTGCTTTGTTTTAATTTCTATTTGAATAATAATATGGCTATACTAGATATTTTTGAGAGCTAGAAGGACAAAGAAAAGTTGGCATTTAAAAAGTATATGTATGTTGTACACAAAGAGTGTTTAAATTTTATAAGGTGGAAATGCTGCAAAAAAAAAATAGTCACAAATGTCCATGTATTTTAAAAACTTCCCTGGATAAAAAACGTTTAATTAAAATTGATCATGAACATCAATGCGTATTATACATTTATGGTGAATATTTTTTATTTATATATTATTTATATTTCCATTCGTTTTTACCGTAATTGAAAAATTTGACAATTTGTTTTAAATTATTATTATATTATTGAAATTGAATTGTATTACAAATAGATAGGTGCCTGCAGGTACACCTTACAAATCAATTTTATTATATGGTTATTTTTTCCGTGGTTATTTTTTCACGGGATTATTTTTTCGGGGTTATTTTTTCAGGGGTTATTTATTAGGCAAATCTTTTCAAACATAGCGTAGGCTCCCACACGAGTCATCTCAGTGGGCCCAGTATTCATATGTATATGAAATTAAATAAATAAATAAAAATAGCGTATAAAACAATATTGTCGTTATTATTATAATACCTAACAATAATAACATAAATAATTGCACGTACCTATAAGTTATAAATTATAACTGAAAATGTGTGCAATGATCAAGCAGAAGTCAGCTTTAATAATTTGCCGAGCCTTTATTATAATAAGCAAACTATTTTCAGAATGAACTGAATGGATGTATTCCTGTATTCTGACAAAAATTACTATTGATAGAATTAAATTGTACACAATCTGCGCCTATTGGTTATACAAATAGACGAGAAGGTGCACACCGAATACTTAATGTTTTTGTTCTTTTATATGGTTATAAACTATTCGAATAAATTTAATATAATTTTTCAGTTAATATTCAAGTACAATTTAAGAAATAATTTTGTTATATGGTTTTTATACTAARGTTAAATTAATTAAATTAAAAACGTTTCAGTATTATGGAATAAGATTTATTTCTAGGGCTATTCCATGTAAATTTAAACTATTATATTATATGTATTTATTTATAAACTTTAACGATTTTGATCACTTTAAAGGGGTGTTAGGTGCCTACATTAAAATATAAAACGATTAAAACGCAATAGGTAACATTATTCTCATGTAATTATATTTACTCAATAATTTCAGAAATTTTGAGAAGTTAATTTCACAACATATATTCGGATTATTATTACTTATATATTATATATTACGTATATAATACACAAAATAAATATAAATGTACACAAATTTAAATATTTGTGATATTACGAAAATAATAAGATTATGTCTAATAATTCATAGCAATGGCAACCATGCTTACAATATAGTATTATTAGTACGATTTTATCGTGTTTTTTCGTTATTTATTATTTTTATAGTTTATTGTAATTTATCATATTATTAAGTTTGATAAAATTATAAAAACGAAACCTAGTTTAACATATCTATATAGAACAGCGTACTGTACCATATTTGGCACATATCCTTTAAAATTTAAATGCAGGTAGCAATAAGATCTTTMACGATTCATATACGAGTGAATTAGATTCGTTTTTGAAAAGTTCTAAATTTATTTATTTTTATTGGATTGGATATTGCGGTTTATCTCGATATATACATAGGTACCTAATAAATGTAAAATATATAATAGTTTATTTTAATATTAAGTATTAACAGTGAAATATATCAAAAATATCTTTGATATTAAGATAATATTAACTTGGTCGAGGGCATTGCATGGTTCAGTTTAGTATAAGGTACACTCGACCGCACTGGAAAGGTGAAGCTCCGACCTTCACCCTACCTTGCCGATAGCTCTTCCTCTTCCTGCTCCTGACCACGCGTTTTGTTAAAACCTCGTTTTATGTATTGATGCACGAATTCGGTATTACCTTCCTGCACATAGGTATACTCATACACAATAACAGCTAAAGATATTTTATTGAGGCACGCCATATATTATGCTCAAGACGAAAAACGTATAGGTGATTTTCAAAACAGAAGAGAATTCAAAGTATTCGCAAGAGTGAAAAAGTTCATTATCGTCATAGTGCACCCCCAAAAGTTCGTGTATTTTATTTGGCATGGGACCCATGCGGAGAGTATGCAACAGGACATATAGATAAATAAAAATGTACTATAATTCTTTAAGGTTTATTATGGCTGCATGTTACATATTGTTATATTATTATGTTATGTATTCAGTGTATTACTATATTAGAATTGCATTATTATTTATTTGACTTTAAAATTCTCGGTGTTTCAAACTTCCATACAACATTTCATAGGTATGATATATTATATTATTTTATTATATTATTATATTATGTCATATTATAATATATAATAATATCACGATAATAATATACGTATCATAATATCATAACTTATAAATTTAAGTTTTAGGTAAAAGTTTTTTCCTTATTCTTCCTAAATATCGTATATTATATTATATTTATAAAAAAACATAAAAGTTAAATAAAAAACTTGACATTGTGGGGTTGTTGAACAACGAATAATAATTTGTTTAATGACGTATACTCATAATCCACGTACTACATCCATCATCATCATCATCACCATGTATCAATATCATTATAATATCATCAATTAGTACTTACTGCCCAAAGGAATAGTATCTTTAAGTACATGAGTCGTCCACATGCAGTACACTGTAGGGGCGCGCGCGACCACGCACATGGGTTTGACTGAGCTCGGTCGGGTGTCGCACGCGAGACTGACTGACTGGCCTGTCGGCGACGGTGACGGCGGCGGCGGCGGCGACTGCAAAACTGGGTCAGCAGCAGCTCTGTAGCGCGGTATATACCGTTACATTTAGCCTACTCGGACGATGGCGGCGGCAGAGTAGAGGAAGAAGACCGTACAAGACGAAGAATGAGTCGAAGATCGGTAGTTCCCACGCGAGTGCACCGCCGTCGCCATCGCCGCCATCATATCGACGGCGCCCGCGCACGTAACACCCGATCACGTGGCTCACTTTCACCGGCCGCCGTGTGTGTGGATAATATATATTATAATAATAATATTATTATTTTATGCTCTGCCTACACAGCGTATAAAATGATAACAATGATAATAATAACGATAATGATAATTAATAATTCGAACGTACGTGTGCCATTATAATATTATTATTGCAGCCAAAAATAGTTCGCGGATATCCTGGCGTGGACGAGCGCATTTCCCTTTTTTTCGTTCTTATTGCTAATGGTTTATTTCGTTTTTCGTGCCCCCTACTATTAAAATAGGCTGTAAGTCAATAAGATTTGTTTGTTTTCGGCGCACGTGCGAATAAAAATCGAATTCGACCGAAATCGATCAAAACGTGACAACATCGACATGGTCTGCGGTAATTTGATTATTTTAGTTATATTAATAAGTATAATAGATATCTACGATATACTTATTGATACTATAGTTTTATAAACGGCGACGTATTACTGAGATTTAAATTATTGTTATTTTTTTTTATTATTTATTTGTTCAACTAAACTATGTACGGATATTGACGATTTTAATTTTAGAACCCCTTTGAAATCTAGGTAGTTCAAATATAGGGTATAATTGTCATAGAGCAGAGCACTATTGATTTTTCTAAGGTAAATGTGTAGATGCTTTAAATTTGTAATGCGTACCTATTTTACTGCTTATGTCACGTTTAAGTCTCCGGCCACGACGACTCGACTTGGCCGATTTGGCATTTGTTCAAATTCATATATAATTTCGTATAATCAATTGCGCTTTAGAAAATAAAATCACATTACGTTATTAGTTAATAGGTATGCAAATCTATACGATTATGATCTATATAATTATTATGACAAAAATACAAAATTTAAGTACCTATATAAGAACATTAATATATGGTATTTGCAGTATTATGTTATGTTTAGAATTATTGTAGTACAGATAGATCTGTTGATATGCAAGATTTATTTTGTTTGTTTAAATATAATGCCTATATAATGAATTAAATTCGACATTTTGTTTGTTATAAACTATCATGTTTAATCGAAATAATAAATTATAACAGTGTATTAGACCGTCAAACTAGTAATTACTAATTTGTACCTGGAAGTATTTACTCACATGATTCACCATCTATTTTTATGTCTCTTTAGTCTTTAGGAATATTATATCATAGTTTTCCATATGACACATTTTTAAACAACTTTTTAAATAGATCTTTCTAGTCAAATAAAGAAATATGAGCTCTCGGTTAAGTATAATTACGGTTTATGACCTCTGAAGGGCAACGAACGTTTGGTCAGAAAACCAATTTAACTGTATCTACGAAAGCATGAATACACTTACCTAACTTCAATGTTTATAATATTATTACATCACGATATGTTATAAAAATTATTTTTTTTTTTTAATTTATCAATTTATCATTCTAATGAATGATTTTCAAAAGAGCCATCATTTGAATCCGTAACGAACTAACGATATTATATTTAATTATTTTGTAGTATTTTGTATACAAGTTTTTTATAATATATATAATTATACAATATATATTTGTCCATTTCCTATATTATTTGTGTGTTGTTATTAGGTATTCTAATTTATAACAATCTAACAGGGTAAGTATAGGTAGTTCATAGTTGTTAATATATTATGTAGTTAACCAACGGTAAATCTATTTATACCAAATTTATTCAAATATTTTTGAATATTTTCTTAATACCAATTAAAATAACTTGAATATATTTTAATATAATATAAACAATGAAATTTGTGGAACAACGATACATGGCCCAACATGGGCAAATCGAATTAATTTTATGAAAATATCATCTACATACGAAAGAAACTCTTATAAACCTTCGATGTAATACATGTTATTTAGTATATTAAATAATTATATTTTATGTTATGTATCTTAAGGTAAGTACATACATAGAATATACTGTATACAGAAGATTTAAGTAAGAGTTCAACTCTTATCAACTATGCCATAGTTAGTATGGTATAGTTGATAAGTACTGTATGTATCTACTTGCCTATTAAAAGTTGAAACATTGACTACTTTGATCTGTTTACCACTAAACTATATAATAAAATMAAATCAATATTATCAAACATTTGTTTTAAGGGGGTAATTAAACATTCATACTTAACTCTATAGGAAAATAGGAAATAATTTTAAAAAAAATATATAATAGGTACCTACACAACTATTTAATGTAGGTAGGTATTATGCATTTAATACATTAATGTAAATTGTCTCAATTTTAAATCTAAGCTCACTCGTCAGTCGTCAACATTATTACTATGATATGAACCTACGCATTACTAAAAAAAATATCTCATTACTGGGTTTGGAGTGTTCAAAAATTAGCATGCTGTTTAATCGCTAGAATTTATTGAGACTATTAGGAATTATTTTTTAAAATAACTTATAATAATATGTTCAATAATTAGTAGTAATTTTATTTTATTTTTTTTATTGAGCATATTTACATCGACAACAAAGGCCATTAGTTTCACTTATTTATACAGTAATTATATAATATAATATATATATATATTGATACAATGGAAAGTTATTAATTTGGATAACATTTTTTTTTTATATACCTAAGATTGAACAATTTTGTTTTTCTTAAAAATAATTTTATTTTATGTTATTCTAAAATGTCAATAAAATTTTATTCGTTGAGTCAAAAAACATGAAAATCTTAGATTCCCCATACTTTTATATAATAACAACTGGAAAATATAAAAAATACATAGGCACGCATTTTTACAATGGTATTTAGAGTTCATGTTTTTGCAAAATTTGTTAAATTAAAAATAAAAAAATTATTTAGTTAGTGTCCTAGAGTCTAGAACCTTGACTGATAAACCGTCAGAACTGTTTTTCGTATGCAAAATGTATACACTGATATGATATCATTGAATTAAAATTTAATACCATCATCCATTACAGTAACCCACTTGTAACCTACTGTACAGCAGAACGACATCCACAATCCACTTATTACCCGCTTTTTAGGAATTGCATTAGTTAATATTTACCTAGGCTGGCTCTGCAGGTGATAGTTTCTCAGCCCAAAAATAGTCCACCTATGAATAAACAGATTTAATATATACGGCTCCAAATCGTATTTATTCAATTCAACTTACTTCGTACCATTTAGATTGTCCTAAGTAAAAATAGGATGCTTTAATTTAGACAGCCGGAAAAACTTATTTGGTAACATTGTATGAAATCAAAAATAATATAGCATGTACAATCGTTCTCTTACGAGTATATAAAAAAGTACCGCCGATAAGGACCCCAAGTAGTAATTATGAACGTATGGTACCCATTAATTAGCCTTACCTCATTGTGTCTGTCATTGGTCTGGTCTCTGGTCCTACAGTCGGTAAGTTGGTTGAACATGGTTGAAATATGGAACCATATATAATATCTATATGGTATTGACTATTGAATAATAAGTTAGCCAATCGTTATTTAAGAGGTGACTTTTTACAAATTTAGATGATAAGATACAATTTGGTAGGCATACAATATTTTAATTTTGTTCGGACATAAGACTTAAGAAATTTTTTTTCCCGAATAATATTTATCTAGAACTAGTTGATTGGAGCTAAAATTTGAATTCTTTTATTATTTATACAAACGATTTAATATTTTATTGCATTTGCATGTGATTACATAGAATATGATAATCGCCAGCTATTTATAACTATTAARCATCTCAAACGCAAATGAAACTTGATGAATCTTAATAATAATAATAATAATAATAAGATAGACCCCATAAATTAGTTTTAATTGCATTACTTATACAGAAATAATTTAAGCATAAGATTACATTTTCATTTGGTAAAATGTATTCTACAGATATTTTAAACTCAATAACAATAAGTAACAGTCATAAATTGACGAAAAAAATTGTATTCATGAATCAATAATATCATTTTACCTATTTCTTTATTGTTAAGTATAATAATTTCATTTTGATAAATCCAAGGAATATAGTTACCGTTGAAAAATCTAAATTTAAAATTTGTTTTAATTATATTAAGATTGTACTGATTAAATAAAGTACCTACTTGATCTTTTTTTTTTAAATTGTTATACTTTATTAGAAATTATATCCCTCGTTATACTGGTATTCGGGGGCGTCATTTAAGGTTTTTTCTCGGGTGTGCGAAGTTTCTAGCAGGCCATTTTGAAATTTCATCAGGCCATATAAAAATAGATATACATATGTATAATGTATACGTATATTATCCTGCATTCAATTATTTCCATACATTATAGACCGGTTATTATAATTTGATTTTAATTATATAAATAATTGTGCATTCGTGGCTCGTGCATTATTTTAGGCTTTAGCAAGGCGCAGGCCAATTATAACATTCTAAAAGTAAGGGGTGTAACCGCACACTCTGCCACCCCCCAAATGACGCCCCTGCTGGTATTTGTATTACAATAAATTATTTTTTGACTCACACATTTATCTTTGAAGCTACCTACATACATATCTTCAAGAACACAGCCAAAATAATTTATTAGTGTGACCAGACGTCCCCCATTAGGAGGGATTGTACCGTTTTTCAGAGGTGCGTCCGACATATCTAAATTCATTTATGAAAATGCATAAGTTGATAATAATAAAACAATCGTATCTAAGGATAAGTATTAAAACTGTAATTGTAATTGTAAATTAAAATTTGTTTAAGTAAAAACTTTAACATTTTAAAATATGTAGTATCTAACGTTTGTCTGACATGTTTATCAATAAAAAATAATTTTAAATTAAATAAAATGTAATGTATTTGCTATTATTATGTATTTACATTTTACGTACCTCTTTTTTTAGTGTCCCCCTTTAGGATAAAATGATTATGGTCACAATATAATTTATGAAAACTTTTCTTGCATAAACCATGCATAAAAACTTAACTCCACCTAAAACCTATATAAAATAATGGTACATGTCGGTTATCGTGACTACCTGGCGAGGCGTATTGAATGGTGGTTATTATTATTTATTAGCATTGGTGTGGGGATTTTTTTTAGATAATAGATAATATAATATTAATATGACCTTTTACATGCTATTTTCCAATGCAGTTAGTGATGGATCATTGTCGTGTGTCGTGTCTTATTATTACAATGCAAATCTGGGATGTACCATCGAGCGAAAAAGATGCTGTGGCTTTTAACCACTTATAATTTTGACGATCCTCAAACTGGCGCTCAAACACAGAATATCGAAAGGTTATAGGGATCCTCATTTGGAGAGTTATTTGGTTGAATTCATGTTGCGTCAAAACTTCAAAAGCATAAAAACCCGTTTATAGGAATTTTAAATTGCATGTCTGAGCATTTCCCTCCTAAAGTGAATTATTAATTATTTCTAGTTTATACAAGTTTTTTTATAATTTTATGGTAGTCGCGATAACCGACAAGTGCCACTAATAATATTAAATATCTATAAATACTAAATAACATAAAGTTAGGGATTCTATGGGCTATTGGCTTCAATTTTAACTAAGTATACAGACTTTAAAGTTTGTTAGCAAGTAATTAGGTATATATTTTGTCCAAGTTCAAAGTTAATTATTTAAATTTCTGTATCAGTGGTATCACTTATTCTGTTATTCACTTACCTATAGGCTGTCTGTAAGTCCACAGATATAATCAAAAGTAATTCTTTATTTGATTTATTTTTTAAAAGCATGCCAACCCCACACATAATATTGTTAATATAGTACATTTTGAAATTTAATTTTCGTAGTTGTTAAATGTTAAACATAATAAAAACCACAGTTCACTTTGAGTCAAAAGATTTTAAAATGATAATTTTATAAGCAATAATATTAAACAATAAAATTTATAATATTATCTATTGGAGAACAATTACCAACTAATTAATATACAATAAAAAAACTAGGAGTTTGAAAAAAAACAAAACAAGTTCATGTATTTTTAGTTAAATATACATAAAAAATAACCATTTGCAAGTAAAAAAATTGATATCTACAGCTTAACACCAGTGCTTATAATATAATTCTTATTATTTTTTCATTCTGCTGTATAGATTGTACTTTAAGTTAGAAATTTGGGTATATATTGATACATTGTATCTTTAATGTATCTCCTCTCAAAGCCACAATAAACTTAGCCACTTCACTTCCACCTAACCACTCATTAAAAATAGATAAAATAGGGCTATATTTTATTTCTTATAAAATAGAATAATTAAAGATAATGTTTATAATAATATCATTGATACTCTTTATAGTATGTTATGCATTACATATTTAATAGGTTATAAGCAGTAAAACTTTTAAATACAAAATTATTATGTATAAAAAAAAATCCAACAACCAACAACAGTTTAAAAAACATTTTTCAATATAAAACTCGAAGGGTATTCCCAAATTAGTATAAAAGCAATAATAATAATAATAATAATAAAACTAAATTGTTTGGACGGAACAGTAATTTATAAAACACTTGTTATCAAAGTGGAGTTGGAGAAGGAACCCAAAGTGTTTTGCTTTGTTCTAAATCGACGGCAGCTTTAATTTGTGTACACATGTATGCCACATTAACTCCAGCTGGTATGACGGCTATAATAAAATATTTAATATTTAATTATGGTATTCACCATGAGAATTTATAGTCTAAGATCATGTCATATCCATGTATGTTGTCACCGTCTTACACACATAATACATATTATCAAATTTGTGTTCCCAGTTTCAATGGTGTGCTGTTAATTTTGAAATTAAAGCGAATTTACCTATTATAAAATTTAAAGATAAAATTATTATCTAAGGCCCCACAAAAGATTTTATTAATCTTATTGTTTTTAAGTAGGTCATGATCATTTTAAAATTTACAGTTTAAAAAAGCAGGCAAGTCATGGATGTCGCTCTGCTGTACAGTAGGTTACAAGTGGGTTACTGTAATGGATAGAATTAAATTTGAATCCAATGATATTATATCATTGTATACGAAAACCGATTCTGAGCGGAGATGGTTTATCTGCCTAGGATATACCTATTATAGATTATTAAAAATTTTCAAATCTTAGATTTAAAAAGAAAAAATTTTCTCAAATGTTTTGAAAATGTTCCGATGTTTAGGTAAAGCTAATATAATTAAACAACCCAAATTTCAAAATTTAACCGAATTACAACAAAAAAACTACCAAAATTAAAATGTCTATAAATAGCTCAAAAATGATTAAAATTTTCCAAACTTTAAACCGTAAGAAACAAATTCCAAAATACAACAAAAAAGATCTCTTGTCATTTTTCATTTAAATCAATATTACTAGTAGAAAATGTCGTCCGTAATTATTTAATATTATAAAATCGTAAAATCGTATGTTTTTCTCCTTTAACCGCTTTTATTTCGAGTACAGTTTCGAAAATCGTAAAATGACCTCTCTAAACTTTAGAGTCTGAGTACCAGCTCAATAACATTAACTTTAAGAGAAGATGCTACACTTGATACTTTTGAGCAAGTTTAGAGGGAGAAAAAGTGTTTACAGAATAAAAAAGAAAAAGGAAAAAAAATAAACATCATTGTAAAACCAATACATTCCTCACTCTGCTAAGAATCTAAAACTTTATAATTTTTTTTAATAATAATATCAATAAAAATCTGTGATACCTTAGTGAGGCCTTAGATACTAATTTTACCTTTAAATTTCATAATAGGTCTATTCACTCTAATAGTCTAATATCAAAATTAACAACACACTATTGACACTAGTGAACAAAAATTTGCTATGTTGTATGTCTGAAAGACAGAGAAGACACACGTGGATGAGATGGTCTCTTAATAGAAACACACCTGAAATGTAATGTCGATATTCTGATTCAAGCTTTAACGCGTGTTCATACATTTCTTTAGCTGCTTTAGCAGAAATTTTATCATGAGATGATCGAGAGTCTTTAGCTTCTTTCACTTGTTTAGTAGATTTAAACTTAATTAACAATACAATAGGATATATATGATGACKATGAAGTCTCTCAACACTGGTTAGGCCAATATCAATTATACAATGACAATTCTATAAAATAAATATCACAAAGTCTGGTAAATATTTGTTTGAAAATGTTTAAGAAATGTTCAGATAATTACTTTGCTACATGCTTCTTTAAGTCCAGAAACAGAAACGCATTCATAAATAGACCCTTTTTTCCGATAATCAATGTACACACTATCAGCAACTCCTTTTTCCATAGAGGCTTGAGAACAATGTTTAGCCTCTGGTATATATCGCATGAATAAATCAGGAAAATCTGCTATTAGTTTATCAGTTACGCAATCTGCAAGAGGTCCAACCACCATTACAGGACGTATGCTAGGTTCAGCTAGAATAAATACAACATGTAAACACAAGTCATCATTATTCATAAAATTACACTTACAATTTAACCGTATAACTCTTTGATAAGAAGCAACAACAATGCCATCATCATGTAAAGTACCAGAGTCACTACTATACCATCCTAAGTTTATATTTGAAAAACTAGCCAATTCTTTGGAACTGCTACGTTGATGCTTTTTACGTCTAAAGAAACTGCGTCTTGTTGCACGTCGTGCATCGCCTTCTAATTCGCCCCCACTACGTCTAATTACAAGTTCTTCCTCAACTCTAATCATAAAAAATTAAATTAAATAATTAAAAAATATTTATACATTTAAATTTCAAATATAATTACTTGTATTTGCTAGGTATAATGCCAACTTGTTGTTTATAACCATTGTGATCAACTAACCACGCTCGCCAATTGCCTGGAACTCCATTATACATTGTGTTATCTACATACAGAACATCATCTTTGCGAAATTGCAGCTGAGAAGAATTACTACCAGCATCACTTAATTCAATTGTACGATCAAACAGTGCTCGTATAAAAAAGCTATCACCAGGTTTATCCTTTATTTCATTATATTCTATTTAAAAAAAATATGTATATATATTAAACACATATTTATTCAATTAGAAATATTTGACAAAAATTTTAAAATTATGTTATTACTCACTATCAATTAAATACTGTGCGAGAACTGTGACTTTTTCAGCTGGCTTGGCCAATTCATAAGCTGCTTCTTCAGCAGTCGCTTCTCTTAAATCTGTTCCATTATATTCAAGTATGCGATCTCCAGTTCTACATATATATATATAAAAGTATTTGTAAATAAAATATAAATGTATAATTAAGATTAATTAAAAGTAGCCATACCTTAACCCTGCATTATAAGCCAATGAATTTAAATTAACACTATGTACAAATATTCCAACAGCATTTCCACCAACTAGGCTTATTCCTAAATTACTACACTTCCTAGTCTCCATGATAAAATACCGTGGTTCATATGCTCTTATGCTTCTACTATCTGTATTTCTATCACTCTTTCGACGAGTTAATGTAGCCATGCCATGAGTTATAACTGAAGCACCAGTAGATTTTCTATTAACAGTAGGTGAATTGCACGGTGTTGGTGTTTCTGAACGGCTGCTAGTTGAACTTTCAGCGCCTTCTAATTCTTGATATTCTAAAAACATAATTAAGTTAAAATGTAATTATACAAAATCATTTATGAACTAATTATGACATACTATCTGGGCTGTATTGTACTAGCATGGTAATTGAGTTTCCACACTGTCGTAAAACGTTTGCAGCTAATTGATATGTTGCACTTCTCATGTTTATGCCACAAACTTCTAGAAGCTGATCTCCAACTTGAAGACCTACTTTGGAAGCTACACTATGTTCACTAACAGTAGATACAAAAACTCCACCACTGTCTACACAAGATATCTGAATTCCTAGAGGTTCTACTGATTTTTCTATACTGATCCATCTCAACTCGCCAGTTAATGGACCACTTCCAACACCTCTTAGTAGCGGTTTTTTCAAATATCTAAAATATTTATTATGTCAGTAATTAGCATTGAAACTATTAATAATTTTATTTTTATACTAACTTTGATGCCCAACCATATTCAGGTAAAGATTGTCGCTTGTTAGCAGGCATAGGTATTTGTCCAGGATTAAGAACTTCAACTCTAAAAGTAGGCATTGGGCTATCCCTTTCACTACTAACAGATCTATCAATACTCCCAGTTGATATACCAACTGCACCACCACTACTTTTACTAGCCACACTTGGGTTGGAAGGTATTCTAAATAAAATAAATAATATGTTAATTATTTATTATTATTATTATATTTAAATGTATATATCTAATTATCTAATGTGGCTCAGTCACTAAACGAAACAAGATATTTAAAAAAATATTTTTTAGAGACATTTTGTTTTTAAAAACTTAAAATTATATAAAATAAAAAAATATTTTTAAAAACATTATAAGTTTTGAAATAATGAATGTATTAAGTTAATTGAATCAATTGGGGTATAGGTCATAGAATTCTTAATTCTTTTTTTACTTTGATATTATAAATTGTTTTAATACTTTTATCACATTAATTTAAAATAATGACAAAATCCATGTGTTGTCTCCTTCAAACGTTCAAAATCATCAGAACCAATTTTTATATTAATAGCTTCAATATTATAGCGAATTGATTGATTTTAAAATTTAAAGGTAAGAAGTACTAAGAACATAATTTGTATGTACATTTCACATACATTTAAAAAAAATAATATTTCAATTCTTAGTGAATTATGAGTCGCCAAATACTTAAAAATTGTAAATACTAAATTTGTATTTAACAGAACAAATTGTATGTTCATAGCTTTAATATTAGACTGAATCAACCTAACAATACAAAATCAATTTTACTGAAGATAAATTAATTTGTAAGACAAGAATAACACATGTGAGTATGGTGTATTTTTAGTATTATCTTTAAAATAAAAATGTTCACCTATGAAATACAAACCTAAATCTAGGAGTTTCTCTCTTTCTAGGAAATGTACCAACTTCATAACCATGATAGGATTCTGGCATATCTTCACCACGATAGCCGATATTAGTCATTATGCGATGAGGTGATCTAGTTGTATGTCTATTGTAGTGCATATCAACCGAAGGAGAGTGACTATGATACTGTAAAAAAATTATTTATCTATATTAATAACAAGTATATTTATATAATATTTTTTTCATATATATTTTAATTTACTTGAGACACGTGACTATAAGGAGGTTCAAAACAGTATAACATTGATTCTCCACTATGAGATGGTGATGGTTGAGAATATCTACTATACTGTGGAGTGAAAAAATGATGAGTATTGGTTGATGGTGGTCCATACATATGTGATGTAGGTCTTGCAGCAAGGCTATCCCCAGCATTACTTTCAGTATCGCTATTTGTATATTTGCCAGTTTTCTTTTTGACATAATAGTCCATTACATCTTTACCAACTTTACCAGATCTATTTAAATTAAATAAACAAATAGTTTCAAATATATATATATATATATATTTGAAGTATAGAATAAAATGAAATATTTACCTGACAGAGAAATCTATAGATGAAGTATCAGGTTTTGAATTATTTTGAGAAGACCAAGATGGAGGATTATTTAAAAGTACAGATAATGGCAAACGTTCCTTGTTTTTACGAGGATGAAGTATTGTACCTGTTCCATGTTCAATTACAGGGCCACTTCTAGCTTTCGGCCAAGTACCACCATTCTTGTCTAATTCCTTAGACTTCCTATGTCGACTATAAAAAATAAAAATCACGAAACATATGTTTATAAAATAATTTTAAATGAAAGTATAAATATACAATGAACTAATTGACATTTATTTCAGAGTTTTGTAAAATTAAGTAGTTTGTTTTGTCTTTATCTAAAACAATTTGTATTTTTTTTTTCATATGGCGTTATGTTTGAGTAGGTCCGAAGGCCTAGTTCGGACACCTATTTGGCAGAATTTCTAATGGGCACCCGTAGGCCGTAGGTTTCTGCCATGCCCAGGGGAAACATGGAGGCTTCTCTCTCCAGAAGACACCGTGACTGTTCGAAGAGAGGTGCAGGAGATTTGAACCAGAGACCGGTGTTGCTGTTGTAGCCTTAAAACGCTCGGCCACTCCGTCCCCCACAATTTGTATGATATTTTAATATTCAATTGATACTATAATACATAATTTGTACTTATAACCAGGGGCATAATATCGCACGGTATGCAAATTCCTATTGAAAAAATAAATGCCTACATTAAATTCCTGTGCACTATCATGTGGTTGTACCAAATTATGAATAATTTATTTGTAAAAATAAACATTTTACAGTGAAAAATATTTTTATTTAAAAATGTTTTTTATTATTTCCATACTCATAAATCTTAATTTGTATAGTTGTCTGTCTCTCTTTTTTTGGTAAATGATATTACATAATGTAAAAGTTAGAGTGTTTTATTCGCCATTAGCTTATACGACTGTAAGTTTAAATTTAGAAATAGACCTACAAACAAATCAACAAAGAAGATATTATCTTGACTGGTAATAATGTTGACATCATTCAACAAATTGTTAACAAATTAATACTGATAATATATGTATATATTAAATATGTCATAGGCATATAGTCAAATCAGGCATTTAGTAATGCATATAGTCAACGAATTTATTATTTATGCAATTTCACTATCTGCCTAGACATTTGATTAAATACCTATTTCATGTCAGGCAAATAATAAAAAATACATTTTGTGCTATTTTAAAAATTTAAATATATTTTCCATCTGTTATTTATTGTTATTTTTAAATTTTCATTTCATTTTTAAAACAATAGTAACAGTGGACACGAAACTAAACATATTATTTCACATAATTATTAAATTATTATTATTATTTTATTTTCTACCTGTTTTACATATTAATAAATAATACATAGTTTTTTATACGTAAAATAGCAATAAATAACTAATAGAAAATATATTTAAATTTTTTAAATAATACAAAATATTACATTTTTATTATTTGACTGCCATGAAATAGGCATTTGACTAAATGTCTAGGCAGATAGTGAAATTGCATAAATATTAAATACTTTGACTATATGCCTGGGAATTTAATAAATTGCCGAATTTGACTATATACCTACGACATATTGTTATTACAGTATCATTTAAATCTGTGTTTTATATTATTTTATTTTTATATCTATAACAGTAATTTCTGGATACAATTTGTTTTAAATATATTATTATGGTTTTTCAGTAAACTTTATTGCAGCTAATGACTTGAATGTCATGAGAATAATATCAATAAAAAAATTATAGTTTTCATAGAAATAAGTTGATTAAAACATTCATATTTTGAAATAATTTGTTTGTTTTTAATGTGAGAAAGTTGAGATGCAAGTAAAGCAAACAATTTTTTTACAGGCATTGGTTTCATAAATTTTACATAGTACACAGACACATTTTTTTAGCATACTATTAATTTGGAGATAAAAAAACTGAAATGACACAACTGCCTGTAACTAATAATAGCTTAAAACTGAAACTGCAAGTTACTACTTGATTATATAATAGACTATGCTATTAAGAATTATTTCAACATATATTTTTACTTAACATGAAAAGTTAAAGATATACGAATTTTGTATTGAATATATATAAGCCTAAAGCAGCAGATACTAAAAATATGGAAAAATTTGTGCATATTAATAAAAATCATCAATGAAGAAATTATAGTAGTAGATAATATTACGCTAAAAAAAAAAATTGTATATAACTAATAAAAAATAAATAATTACCTAGAATGTTTAGTAGCAGTAGGAGGTGCAGGATGTGGTCTAAAAGCATCTATTACAGAATCTAATTCTGCAATAGCGTCTTCTTGATCTCGTTCAGAGATAGAATTATTGACAGGTGAAGGATTTCTATGAGGTTTTTCTGGTACATCAAGCATCACTCTTCTTGACTGAACATATTGAGGTTTTTGATAAGGTTCTTGATATCTTGAATAACTAGATTTGTCGGTTTGAGTTGTACTATTAGTATATTTTTTATAAATATCACGATTTGGACCGGAACCACAATTTCCAGCACAATATGTTGATTTCATAGTAGTAATAGTTAATACATCACCAGGTTCATGCAGTAACAGCATTGCTTCTCTTGAATGTTTTATATTATCGACTGATGTATTGTTAATCTAGATATAAAACAGAAATAAGAATATCCAGCCAAATTGTTTATTTTCTTTTAAACATTTACTTACACTTAATACTCTATCACCAACATCTAAATTTCCATCTTTAGCAGCCAGAGATCCAGGTGTTATTTTATTAATGTATACACCAGTTTCCAATGAGATTCCATGATCATAATTATTTACTTGAAGTTGAGTTGTGAAAAGACTCCTAGATGGAGAAGCAGGTTTTCTTCGTCTTACAACCAAAGTAGCACTGCTTAATGATCTCATAGTTTCTAAAACTAATCGCTTACTAATTGATGTACAATCAAGGCTATTCACTCTTAATATACAATCATTAACTCTAGAAGAAAAACATATATAGGTATTAATATTAACAAATGGTAGAAAAAAATATTCAATATTTTAAATTATCGTTTATATTATAAAATGATTAAATATAACTGTTTAGCAGAAATTATTACATTGTTTAATTTCTATATCAGACCTACACAAAACAGACAATTTGCATGTACTAGAAATGATTTTGTGTTGTTACTTTTTACCAATAATATTAAAGAGCAGTGACTTATCATACGAATTTAAGATAATCTAGGTTTTAAAAGTGAGCTATGAACCTAAAAAGTTGTAACACATTTTAAAATTAATACATCAATAAAATATTATTTTATTATTATAATCAATCAATTCGAAAACTAACCAAACCAAACCAAACTGGATCAAATGTTCTATATTGCATATAATATATTAGGCAGAAAAMAGTACACTGATATCATGCATTAAAATATATTGATTTTTCATGGAGATACTAAGGGTGATATGAAACATTTTGGGACATACTGTATAGTAAATAGTATAGTATAAATAGATTTAAAAAAATAGAATGTTCAACCTCAATTTTCTTGCTGCAACACTTCCTTTATTAATAGATGATATATAAATTGCATTATCATTGGGATATAAAGGATCATCTGCTCCACCAAGTAATTCAATCCCTAAATCTTTATTTGTCCCTAAAACACCCTAAAAATATAAATTTACATTAAATCATATTATATAAACTGATTAAATTTTAAATAATACTTACTAAATCAATATTTAATATTTCTGTATCCCAATCTTGAAGGTCGGTATCTATAGCAGAGTCTTGACTATAACGACCAGTAGCCTGTAATTGTAGTAAACGAGCTTCTTTTTCCAATTGAGCTTCCATTTTTTCCCTTCAAAATAATAAAACATATTTTCATTAGAAAAAATTCATTTTAAACAATTATTATCATACTTAAAATCATTGAGTTCTTTAGCTGTATCACTTTTTTGTTTCATTATATCGTCACAATCTCTCATAGCACGCGCTAACTTGCTCACAGCATCATCACGCTGTTTTCTTAAACTATCACACAGGGTTCGTATACTTTCACGCTCTAACACAATTTTATCACGTTCACTAAATGCCCAATCACGGCGTCTTTTAGATACTTCTGCTTCTTCTAGAGACTCATCTAATTCGTTATGATATTTATCTGCTAATTTTCTTAAACGTTCAATTTCTTGATTAGCTTGATCTAAATTATCCATTCGCTCTTTTTGACAAGAGTTGAATAAATCTAGAGAAGCTACTTGTTCTCGTGAATCATTTCGATTTTCTCTTTCTCTACTGAAACCATAATCTAAATGACTCTTAAATTCTCTTTGAGATTCATTTTTAGCAGTTATTTCTCCAAATCTTTCCTGATAATCATTGCATTCTTTAAGTGCTTTATCACGATCATGTAATGCTGATGATATTTCACGCTTTAATGATTCAACATGCAATTGTAGAGTTTTTTTTTCATCTCTACAAGATTTTATTTCATTTTCCAATGATTTATTTTTGTTGTAAGCTTGAGATAAATCTTCAGAGAGCTTTTCAAGTTCATTATGAACACTATCACGTTCACTCATAATGAGTCTATATTCTTTAACAGCAGCATCATGAGCTTTATTCAAGTCTTTAAGTTCCTTACTACTTTTTACACTATAAGCAACAGCAGCTTTCATTTCTTGAACTGCTTCTTCATGTTGTTGTTGCACTTTTTGTATAGCTTCTTGAAGATCATTACGTTCTCGAAGTGTTAAATCCCATTGGCGTATAGCAGCTGTACATTGTTGTTTTAAACCATCTCTTTCTCGTAAAGCTATATCCCGTTCTTTAAATAACTCATTACATTGTTTTTTTAATTGATTAATTTCATCTTTCATCATGTCCATTTTATCTACAGCTGCTGAATGTGTAGTGCGCAAATCTTCATATCCCTTTCTCAGAGCTTCATAATCTTCTAGCCTTGAATCATATGGCATAAAATGATCATTAAGTGAATCACCACTTGCTGTATCATCTTCAGGAATATCCTAAAAAAAATATTTTAATGATGTCAAAATACAATTTTTAAATATTTAATGTTATAATTTATAACTTTATCTGAGCTTAATTTAGCCATATGAAAAAAATAAATACCAAAAATATAAATTTTATAACTAAGTTAAATTAATAAGTTATATAAATTCTATTCATATTTTAAACAAATCATAGATGTTTATAATATACCAATAATTAATATATTTAGTATTTAGAGATGTAAGTCTATAAAATAATTTCTTTATGTACGGTATTTTAAATTACAGTAATGTAATGTATGTCAGAAAAAACTGCCCCATCTTAATACATTTTTAACTAACGAAATTAACTATAAAATATCAACCAAAAATTCAAGATAAGTAAACAGTAACATTATTCATAATTTTTATCAGAGAAGAAATCCAAACTCATAATTGCATAAATATTTTATTTCATAAAAAAAAAACATGGTAAGCTCAGTAACAGTTTAAAAAAGTAATTTTGATGCATATGGATTATGACGAGATTTTACTATTATGGTTATTTATTAATTTATAACAAAAATATAAATATGATAGTATCATCGATAAGACAATACAATCTTGGTCCTGATCTAATACCAAAAGAATTTTTATGAAATTGTAAATTTGTTAAATTTATTTGGTATTTTACTATTTTCCCTGACGCTTACATATTAGTTTTATTCAATCTATTCTTAACCCCATCTCTTCCTTTTTTTCAACAATATTTTTATAATAAAGCTTATAAATATTTTATTTTTGATTTGTACCTACTGTTTTGTTATCTTATTATTACCTACAAACATAAAAATTTAGAATTTTAGAGCATGGGCATTTAAGTGCATTTAAGTATATCTTATTTAACAATTTCTATAAAAATGTTCTCCTCTCAAAATAACTATCAAGACATGGGTAATAAGATAAATAATGTTATCTATTATTTTATTACTTTAATAATACTTGTACAAATTACAAAGAATTTGAAAACTACAAAAAATATTTATTTTTTGTTTTTACAATCTTTTATTCAGGGTTTTTTCTAGGAAAAACATGCAACCTGAAAAATTCAACAACCGTATTAATATTATGATCAAAATTTTAAATAATTTTAAATTAAACGTTATTTTGGAAGTTAGCGAAAATATATTGATACAATGATTAATTATTTTTAAATATGCATCTACGCTTTCATAATCGCCTACAAACCCACCAAAATCCATTGATAAAGAGTCTCTACACTCAAACCATACCAGGAAACCCTCGCCGTCGTCTAAAAAGGAACTGGTGCCCGTGACTTGTTATAAATAATAATGAAAAAAAAAACGAAGTTCTAGACTCTAGACAGCGTTAATTCTCAGCCAAGTGTCACCAATGGGTGATTTCTTAATTCAAGATATTCATGTTACTATTATAATATCATATATACTTATTGTGCTATGTTGTATAGATTGTGTATTTCCAATTGTAAAAAAAAAAATAAAAAAATATGCATCTAAAAGTATAACATGGAAGAAATATGCCTTAAAAATTAAAAAACTCAAAATATGCATTTAAATGCAAAATAAAATTTCAAAACTAGTTTTTTTAAACATGAAACGTATTTGCTTTATACTTTACTATTTTTGAGACTATGCAAATGCTAAACGTTCTATGTCCTACTAATTAGATACAATGTATGGCAGGACACCCTGTGTTTATAAATCAATAAGATAAAAATGAAAATTAAATAACCATTTATTTTTGAATCATGCTTATTGCTTACCCAGTAACAAACTAGTTATATACTAATACAAGATACAACTGACACAACTTGATTTCGTTTTGTATTTTTGTAATAATTTATAAATATGAAATTTGAATTTAAAATATTTGTAGGTTAAAGTCAATATATAAATACAGCTTATAGGAGGATCTATCCCCCATATCACTCCTTGTAATTAAGCCACTGGGCTGAGGTGTAGATGTTAAAAATAAGTGGGGCAATAACTGCACCTTGTGTGACACCGGCTTCTATTTTAGAAATATTTGAAAAAGTTGTTCCTGAGCGCACAGAGAAGTGGTAATCACTAAGATATGATTTTATAAATAGATACAAGTAATAAGTATGGGGGGGGGAATTGCTTTAATTTTGTGAAGGAGCCCTTGGTGCATATGAGCTTTTCTTCAAAAGAAACTTATCTTATCTACAAGACGGTGGAATCTGATGTATTGTAGAATGATTGTATCTAAATCCAAATTAAGTATTGGGAAGGTTTATTTCTATGATTGGTATGAGTAGTTAAAGTATCAGTTTTTCGAAAATTTTTGAGAAATAGGGTAAGAAGCTGATTGATCTGAACAGTCGAGGCATTTCTGTGGGTTTTTATGACTTATGAATCATTATTATAATTGAATATTTCAGAATAAAAGAAAGTAGATGAGCTTTATAGAATTGTATATAGGTAGGGTTGCCAGATTTTAAAAACGCCAAACTGGGACATCATATTGAATAACCTTTTTTTCGTAAATTTGTTAATTATCATGTTCAATTGTAATTGTTGAKCTATCATGGTTTAATACTAGAAGTTAATAAAAATAAAAAATAAAAATAGTAAAAACCTTTTTTTGTATAATTATATGGAAATTAATAATATCCCATATTTTAATTGAAAAATGTATTACCCAATACAATTTTTTACATATACTACATTTACTGCATTTACATTTATTAATTGTTAGTAATAATCTAATGACTAATGTTCATACTTTTTAGTTGAATAAATTGTTTTCAATACAGCTGTATTACTTTTAATTTTTAAATAAAATTCTTTACAAGTTAAACCCAAATTCTATGTATAATATTATTTTATGTTTTATTATTAAACAAAATAATATTAAAGTTATTTTCTCTTGTCTTCCATAAACCGGGACAAAATTAATGACCGGCCGGGACACTGGGATATGCTGTTAAAACCGAGACTGTTCCGGTCAAACCGGGACGAATGGCAAGCCTATATATAGTTAGATAAAATATTAACCTTCTTTAAAATTAATTCTATTAAGGTCACCACACACTGCAGCGGTGACAGTAAAATTGTGTCAGGCTTCATTTTGCCGTAACCACTGCAATGAGGGGACCTTTTACTCCTAATATTTAGTAAGTGATAAGAAATATGTACCTGTTCCGATCTATTTAAAATTTGTTTTTCCGCAGCTAGTTTAGCACGTAATGAAGATGATTCTTGGGCAGCCTGTTCAATTTGGTTAATCATAACTTGATTTTGACCACGATAATAGTCTAATTCTTTTCTAGTCTGATCATATCTTCGAACTGTTTCTCCATGTTGTCTGTATTAACAAACAAAATGCGTGATACTTACATCTTTTCAGAATTGAAGTTGAAATAATTATATACCTTCTCAACATCATCAACTCATGCATTGCTTTATCACATTGTTGCTTTAATCCATCATAATCACGTTCGCGGTTACTATTAGCATCTCGATTTCGATCATTACTTCGATCTGAATAACTTCGAGTAAGCATATCTATCATAGAACAAAAAAATTAAATAAAAATATATTCACATGTACCTAGGTATGTTAATAGATTTTACAAACCAGTATTTTTAGAATTTTCAATAGTATTGTTTGACGACATTTTAATATTATTTACACAATATTTAAACCAAAACACAGAATCGTTTTTACTTTTTTAGCTTTGGCATTTTCATGTTAATAGAGTTATGAGTATAAAACATTTAAAACGGGATGTGCTGAATTTATCCATGACTAATAGTTCATAAATAAAAGTAAATAACACAATTAATTAATGTAAGGATATATTCATAGATTTCAGCAAATATTAAATTTAATTAAATTGGAAATAAAATTATACGTGAAAAAACAATAAAACGATTGAGAAAAAATATATAATATACTACATACCCAACGAAACATAAATAATTGCAAAATACAAACTGTATATACCTAGATAGTAGATTATAGATACTATATTATATTATAGTCTATATAGGTAGTAAATTATAGCAATTACTATTTTTTTTTTATAATTTGTATTATTATTTTACGAAAATACAGAACAATATTATAGATAAAAATATAAAATAGATGAAAAACATATGTTAGATTTGGGTTACAGAAGGTATAAATATCTACAATTTACTCGTAACCGTGGTTCAACAGTCTTCATTCAAACAACAACAAAAAAATCTTTTGTACTGTTTCAACTACAACTACTYTTAAGTCTCAAATCACCATCGTCCGTCGACGTAGACACTTACTAGTCTTAGTAGTCTACACAGACCACAGACAAGACTATATAGTGTATAGTTTTTATGTACTTTAAATACCACCACCCACGATTTATGATAAGTATTATCTATGGCCGTGATACTGAATTCTGTGATACTATAAAAAAAAAGTTTGTATACCACCACAGAAATACAAATACCTCATGGCTTCGTGTTTTATGGGCCGGAGTTAAAACTAACTGTTAAAAGTGATAACCGATAAGTCATTTGGCTCCAACATGAATTTGATGAATTTGGAAATCGAATTTTCAAGCATAAACCACTAGTGAAATAAGTTTATTTCTTAACAATGGTTATTAGCATAGGATTCGAAGGAAGTGCAAATAAACTAGGTATTGGAATTGTTAAAGATGGTGAGGTGCTAGCGAATTGTAGAAGAACATACATAACACCGCCTGGTGAAGGTATTTGTTTTTCCTCCTTTTTAATTATTACCTATATTTGTAAAAAACCAATATTGTTTTGATTTTAGGATTTTTACCTCGAGAAACTGCAAAACATCACCAGGATAATATTGTATTGTTATTAGAAGAAACAATCAAAACATCTGGCGTACTACTAGAACAGATTGATATTGTATGTTTTACAAAAGGTCCTGGAATTGGTAGTTCCTTAACTAGTGTTGCTGCTGTAGCACGCACCCTTGCTCAACTTTGGAACAAACCTTTAATACCTGTTAACCATTGTATTGCACGTATCCTTTTAAGGCATTTGATGTTTTTAGTTATTACTTATTAGTTATTATTTAAATCCAACCTTAATAATCATGATCAGATATAGAAATGGGTCGTTTAATAACTGGTAGTGACAACCCTACTGTTTTATATGTTAGTGGAGGAAATACTCAAGTCATAGCTTATTCTGGGAGATATTATAGAATATTTGGTGAAACAATAGATATTGCAGTTGGAAATTGCTTAGATCGATTTGCGAGAGTTTTAAAATTATCCAATGACCCTAGTCCTGGTTATAATATTGAACAAATGGCTAAAAAGTAATAAATTATATGTTAAATTAAAAATTTTAAATTTCTATTAAATAATGTATTAACATTTTTAGTGGAAAAAAATATCTTAAATTACCTTATGTGGTTAAAGGTATGGATGTTTCGTTCTCTGGTATACTATCCTATATTGAAGAAAAAGCACCATCATTGTTGTCATCTGGTGAATATACTCCTGAAGATTTGTGTTTTTCACTTCAAGAAACTATTTTTGCAATGCTAATAGAAACAACAGGTAAATACAATTATAATTATCTTTAGTAATTCATTTGATCACTGATAATTTATTACCACCCAATGTCCTGGTGGCTGGTACCCATTCTGTTTAAATTTTTCACTATGAAGACACATTGTGTATTTGTGTCCAATGACAAACTAGCAAATAATAAAGAAAATTGTACGTTTTAAATAATCCATTTAACTGTATTATGTATAATATTAATACAGATTAAATGAGTTTTATTTAATCTGTGATATTGGAATGATTTGGTCTGCCTACCTAGTATTAAATTTAAAAAAATGATATTATCAGAAATATTATATAGTAAATGTCATATGTTTTTATTTTTTATTATAATTTTAAATCTAGTTATGAATATTTTATAATACTGTACAAATATGTAACTGTACAAAAATTACCAAGTATTACAATTTTGAAATTTTCATTGCTCCATATCTCACTTTAAAATTATATAAAAAAAAAAATTTTGATATTCTACATATTATTTTTACTTTTAAATTTGATATGTTAATTTACATTAGTATTAATCAAAACTGAATTAAAGGGGTTATGTAGAACTTACAATTGATCATGTTATATATTTGTAAGATAGAGACAATGTGTCTTTTTAATGAAAATTTTCACAAAATATAATTCTTTTGTAAGATCGATACAATGTGTATATTTTACTATTTTAATACTACAATAACAATAAATACAATCATATATATTTAATTTTAGATTCTGAGCAGAGCGAGGAATGTATTGGTTTTACAGTTATGTTAATTGCTTTTTATTTTTTATTCTGTTAACACTTTTTCTCCCTCTAAACTTGCTCCCATAGTCACATTTTTTTTTATAAACATTCAAAGTTTGAATTTTGACAACATACGTAAAAATCACAAAAATTTGCAATTTTTAAGCTAAAAATTCATAAAAATTTGTCTTTTTAAATCTAAGATTTGAAAATTTTTGATAATCTATAATATATCCTAGACAGATAAACCGTCTCTGCTCAGAATCATTTTTCATATACAATGATATAATATCATTGAATTCAAATTTAATTCCATCCATTACAGTAACCTACTAGGTAACCTACTTGGTATTTATATATTATGGTAGCTTTGGCTCAGTATTTTTTTAATTTTAAGTAGTATAAATCTGAAATCACACAAACTATATGGTTTTGAAATCATAAAATGATAAGAATTAATTTTAATTCAAATTCAAATATTCCAACTTACCAATTAATCTTTATTAGACCTGTATTGCTTTATTGAATATATTCCTCAATAATATTGATTATATATTATTATATAATAAACAATTACGGCTGTTAGTTCCGTTGCTACTGTACAATAATGTTATTTATTGTTTTAAGGTGTTAAAAATGTGAAAAATCATATAAGCAGTGGCATATTTTTTATTTTTCTGGGGGGGAGGGGGTTCCTCAGTTTATACATAACTAATATAATGATATCTTTTAATAGATACGTCCCCTCATGAAGTTTTCGGAGGGACTAAATATATGATTGTATAGTCTAGTCTTATGTAACAATATTGTAATATCATAGACGTGTCCAGATCTCCATGGCTGAGTAGGCCATTTATAAAATTAAAATTTTTACTTACTACAACGATCTGTATTTTATAATCTATATTTGTGACTTTTTTTTTGGATGGAAATTATATATAACTATTATATATGGTTATTTCAACCACGGTAGATTATACGCCAAAAGGCCAAGAATCAAGTCACTGGGGAGGTCGGTGCCCACACTGCCTATGAATATCATTTATATATATTATATTTAGCACTACATATTATGAAGTATTCAACTTCCTTGTGAATGTTTAACATGGCCAATCCATTTAGTCTTTACTTAAATCGGATTCTGCAAATATGTATGAGGTTCTAGAGGGGGGATCCAGTACCCCTGGACCCCTCTTCCCTTATTTACATCACTATATATACATAATATAGTTATTTAAAATTTATCATTTTAATAAAATTGGTTATATACTATAACATAGCTACTTATTATGCACCTGAATAAGATAATAAGAATACAGCACATACAATTTATAACTCATTAGCAATTACAAGTTTAAGATCATACTAAATGGCACAAAGCTACTAGCCAATGTTACTTGATTAAATAAGTAAATCATTATTCTATGAAGCTTTAATCAAAAACAATTACTTACACACTATTTACCTTTTAGATTTTTGATATTAATTTTTTATATTTTATCTTAAATTTACAGTTTCTATCAAAACCGTTATTTAACTCTTTAAAAATTATTTTCAATGTGCAGCCACATAATTTCACATTTAATTCAATTTTTGTGTTTATTCAAAATAATATATTTTTTTATTTTTTTTTTATTGAAGATAAAAGTTTATTTACAATCTATACATACAGTGCATAATAAGTAAGTGTGGTGACTTAAAAATAAAAAATAAATAACATTAATTACAGAGAAGGAAGGCTCCCAGCAGTGCCACCTGACAAGAAGTTAGGGTTTGAGTTTTTTTTTTTTTTAAATAATATTTTAAAATATTTAATCAAACTTTTGATTGCTTCGTTATTTTGAAGAGTAAAAAATAATTAGTAATAACATAGAAAGACTAAGCTGCATTTTAAAATTTAATTTTTAAACTTTTTTTCAGAAAGAGCAATGTCTCATTGTCAGTCAAAAGAAGTACTAATAGTCGGGGGTGTTGGTTGTAATGAAAGATTACAAGAAATGATGAAAATTATGTGTGAAGAAAGGGGTGCAGTATTATATGCTACTGATGAAAGGTTAGATAATGAATAATAATCAATTATGACATAGTAAATAATTATTTTTATATATTTATAATTTATATATTTAAACAAATGGACTTTAAACATATTATAAATGATTATTGCTCATAAAATTATCCTTCAAGGTTTTTGAACATTTTTTTAAAAATTGATTAGTGTTATGCAGTTAAATTCATATCTTATTTAAATTTTCAAGTTAAAAAAAATAAAATTATACACCTTTTTTTTAACTTTAAAGCTGTGGTTACACAATAGTTTCTATTATGAAATCATCTATCAGGAGATGTTGATTTACCATCACTATCTAATTCACTTATTCACTCACATTGTCATGTATTCATGATAGTTCTTTCACGACAGCAACTATCGCATTATTCTATCATTGTATGACCACGGCTTAAGGTAGGTACCTCATCTGTGTTCTCTTATTTTTTTTTTTTTATTTGAATTTTTAGATGAGTTATGAGTGTATAAAATATTAAAATCTGTGACAAATTTTATGAAAAACTGCTTAAAATGTGAGGACGATTTAAATTTTCTTTGCTTAATTGACCACTAACATGAATGATTTTGTTTTAGGATAATACATTTTTATGACTTCTTTAATATTATGATTTAAGATTATACTGTGTTAAGTAAAACTGCAGAAAATAATTATTGTTTATTATTTCAGATGACTAGATTTATCACTTTTTGAATTTCAAAAAAATAACATAACGGAATAATTTTTCTGTTTTCATAATTATTTTTCTAGAATTCCTACAATTTTTTTAAATTACACTATCTAATTAAAGTCTTTTTGTTAACCTATGTCCTTAATGAAAACGTTAAGGTTTTGTGTAGTTAGAAAACACAAGTATGTGTATACCATTAGCCATATGATCAAAATTAGTAAATTAATACTAGACATATGCAGTTATAATATTGTATTAATATTAAGTGTATATCTTTTAATAATCATCTAGTTATAGTAATTGTCTTTGTTATAACTTACACGTACTACCCATGTATATTATATTTCCTGTGTTTATAGGATTATAAATATACATGAAAAGTACTATTTGTGTATAATTTCTAAATTTTCATTTGAGTATCGAAACTACATATTTCTGAATAACTACAAAAATTATAACTTCCAGTCAAGAACATATATACGTTTAAATTTTTAAACCAACATATTTTTAGTTTCATTTAGAATCTAAAAATCAATATTGATATATTGTTTTTAAATGTTTGTTTATAATAGATTTTGTATAGACAATGGAGTAATGATAGCTCATACTGGAGCATTAATGCATAATAGTGGATATAAGACTACATGGGAAGATACATTTTGTACACAGAGGTATTATTTAATTATTAAAATATTAAATAAATTATTAATTTCTAAAATAGTCTTAATATAATCATAAATAATTTTTCTTAGGTTTAGGACAGATGAAGTTGAAGTTACATGGAGATCATGAAAATGTGTTAAAGCTTTTTTTACATACACTACATAATTTTTCAAGTTATACAAATAACCAAAGTATTCTTGCTAAAACACAAACTAATAAAGCAAATACAGGCCATATTGAGTATATATCATTGATTTTTTTAAGGTTATTCTTAGAAATTCTTGGTTTATCCACTATTTCAGCTATTAGACAATGTTTTTTTGCTGACTTCACAATTACTTTAATACACTTCCCCATTAATTCTGGTTCCTTTTTCACCAAAACCTAATAAAAAAAAGCTCACATTTTAAGATTTATMCTCAATTTGTAATAGTAAATTAAAGTTAAATAAATAAGATAGATTCAGCTCAACATCAGATATACTAGATAGTTAAAATATTCCACCACATTAGGATTTTAAATGATTCATTTTTGTAACTAACCTGTTCATAATATTTATTGTGTCCAATCAACTCAATACCATTTTTGGCTTCTTCGGTTATTAAAATATCTTGTATTTCACCAATTCTATGGTCATACGTGGAATAGGAATGAAATAATTCAGTCAGACGTTTTGTTCGAATTTTAACCTATGGATAACATTTGGTTGTAATTTTGTATGAGAAAAAACAAATAATTGATTACCATGTCAGTAGGAATTTTAGGCATTCTTGCAGCCGGTGTACCTTTACGTGGGTAAAATTGATTAATAAACAAACTAGGAAATTTATATTTTTCACAAACACTCATTGTCTCAGAAAAATCTTCATCTGTTTCAGTTGGAAAGCCGCAAATAATATCTGTTGCAATAGAAACACCAGGTACTCTGGTAAAATAATTTAAACATATAAATTATAATATACAATTCAAATGGTTTCTACAATTTAATTTACTTTTGTCTTAAAAAATTAACGACAGTTTCAAATTCTTCGATTGAGTATTCACGCTTCATGTCTGCTAGTACTTGATTACTTCCAGATTGTACAGGCACATGCAAAAATGAATATACCCTAGGGTGAGATAAAATCTTGGCTATTTCCTATTTAAAAAAATAATTAATTTCCTATCTCTTTACGTCAAGTGTGATTTTACTGAACCTCTAGATGATTGAGTATGTATGGTGGATTAGTCATACCAATACGCATCATACAACCTTCAGGTATGATAGCCACTAATCGCCAAAGAAGATCTGGTAAATTTGTTTGTATGTCCAACCCATATGCACCAGTATCTTCACTTGTTAGCCACAATTCCACAGCACCTTCATTAAATGATTCTATGGCTCTTTGTACAATTTCATCTAAAATATATTGCTGTTGTTATAAGAATTAACAACTATCATTGAATATTACTATATAACTAATTTACCTGGAGGATAACTACCAAGGTTTCCCCTTGCATGTTTTGTTTTACAATAAGTACATTGATTCAAACATCCAGTGCTGATAGCAATAATTTCAATTAATTTATTTTTGCGCATTTTTGGTAACTGTAATCTGGCACCTCCATCTTTTTTTCCATTTATCTTTTTTTGACCCAACAAACGAATAGTATGTCCTATTGAAAGTAAGTAAAAATAATGTGTCATGCAAAAGAAATATTGTTGAACAAACCTTTTAATGTTTCTTCTACTACTTCTACTACCCTGTCTATTTGCTGAACACCAATAACACTCAGATTTTGAATAAAAGAAGACTTTTGATCACCCTGAGGTACACAACCAGCCACTACCACAAATTTCCCAGTTTTTTTACCCGTAGAAATTTCATTTCTAAAATGATCTTCAGCTGGATTTTTCACTGTACAGCTATTTAGTATCCACAGATCAGCAATAGCTTTGTCCTCTTAAAACAGATATTATTAATACCAAAAAATAGTTACCAAGAATTTTAATTCTTACCAGTTATTTTATATCCATAGTTTGATAGAAGACCTGCCATATATTCCCCATCTGAACTGTTGTGTGAACATCCCCAAGTCTTAATAAATATTGTTTGGGTGCCAGGGACTTGGGATGTGGGGTGATCAGTTTCCCTTACTGGTTTGTCCTTAACTTTTGGACGTAGAGATACAATATTCTTAGGTTTGACTCTACCAATTTCAGCAATATCGGCAACAGACAAAATCAAATCTTCGATGTCACCTACATCATCCATTGTCATTGACTGTCAAAGAGCCAATTCAATAACTCAGTTTATAACATAGCATGGGTGGTTGTAGTATGCGCTCAATGCCTATACCTAAAGTAAACAAATCGTTTTTGAACAMGTTTGGTAAACAATTTGTACCCATATTTATACTTTTATAGCGTACCTAATTTTTTTCTATAATTCGTCAAACATAAAAATTGATAACGGTTTGTAAAGATTTGATTCATTATGGTCGAGAACTCAAAAACTAATTCAAAAACGTATGACAGCTGTGTATGGGCATGTACAATGTGAATAAATCTAACTACATCACTCGTACATGATATTATTTCTTGTCCGACATTTCATTCGATGTCATTCGTCTTGCACTCGCCGACTAAACTCAACTACGGCATACACAATATAAATGTTATGATTTTTTACAGTCGTGAACGGTCCAAAACAGAAATTTTCATTTCGCGTTTTCGCAACCGTTCACGAGTGCAACACAATATGCAAGTATGCAATTTGAATTATTAAGCATATTGATACATTAAATCGAACACGTAATCATCAACAATATAACATTTCAAAGTAAATAATAACATTAAATTAAATTACATTCAAGTCATAATAATAACTACTGTTGTCTATACATTCATACGTACGATTTAAATATATATATACCTTTTGTTTTAATAAATCGTTCAACCACAGTCTGTGGTTCAACTCTCAACCGCCTATCGATATAATATCTTTTCTATTTCTACATCGTGCCGTCTATTAATAATCAATAATATTAATATACGCATATATGTATATATGTATATGCATATATTTACGTAATATCACAAAAATCTGTAACTACAGTTTTGGTATTTGGTAATAATAAACAATAATAAAGATATGTTTTGTGATAATAATAATAATAATATATAACTTTTAATAATTATTGTACCCGCGATGTAGAAAGATAACGCGATGCGGCTTTGTAATCTCTTGCTCCGGGCACAACAATATTKATATTTTGTCTATTTTGATGCTGGATGCTGGAATATAAGGCAATTCTATAGTTCCTCGGTTCCCAGACAGATGTCGCTACCAATTATTGATGTGTACAGTCATTTTTATAATGTAGCTATTTGTTTTTACATTGAACACAATGAACACTGCTATTGTTATATGAAAAATAATTTTTATTTGATTATATTACCGTATGTAAACTCTTGACACTGCTAAGTACGTAATAAATTCTTATTTTACATAATCAATATCAAGGAATAATTTAAAAATACTTGCTAATTTTTAATTATGTATAGTTGCATTGGTGGTAGTGATGTACAACTTCAGAAATTCAAGAAATCTCTAAGGAGAAATATTAGAAATTTAAAAATTAAATTTTATTTTTAAATAGAGCTTATTTTCTTACCCAGTTGAATTGTTGAATTCAGATACATGATACATAAAATTAGAAATATTCATTGAATTTTAAAATATATTTCAAACATTTAAAATAGGTGTACGGTCATGGGTGGATAGGCCATTTTTGGCCTAGCAGGAAATTTTAAAAAGGGGTCTCACATGAAAAAAAAAGTCGCTCGTACAGTATGGTGTATGGTACAAATTTTATTAATTTAAATATTTTGTCTTTAAACATAATCAATTAGTACAGAGGTAATAATGTAATAATGATACTGAATATTTGCTCGGTTGTATAGCATTCATATTTCGTAGTATTCCTATTTTATCATAACGAAACTAATGTTAAATAAAAACAAATGATAGAGTTTTTGTCTTGGTAATTAACCAAAAAAAATTAATTTTCTCCATTAATAGGCGGAGGTGTTGTCAAACATTTAGAGAGGCCATCGTTTTATTTTAGGGGGGGTGGGGCGACTAAGCAATATGAAATGCGGGACTAAGCAATGTGAAAACAGTACCTACGGCTCCCATGTAGTGATTTTCAACGGAAAAAAAGGCCTTCATTTTAAAAACAAAGTTAATGTTGTAATATTATAGTATTATACCCCTGATGATCTATTATAGCCTATAGATACTATAGTTTAGGATGACCATACCCATACGTCCTGTACTTTTATAAAGGATTGTCCTTTATTTTGTTCCTGTATCCTGTTGTCTTGACAAACATCTCTCGGGAAGTCAGCAGGCTTTTTGTCCCGTAATTTTTTAGTCTGTCCCATATTAATCCCGTTTTTTGCCTTACATACTGTTAATTTATAATTTTTAAATTTTTTTTTTAAATCGTTTTTTTACTTTATTTTTGAACGTCATAATAGAATATAATAATATAAGAGTCTATAATTTTTAGTTGTATATTGTATTTTTGAATTTTTGGGTTTTTTGTTGTTACCATAATATACCTGATTAAATAATAATAATAATAAATACTTAGTTTATTTATTACATTATTATACATTTTTGTCCTGTATTTTATTTTTTTAAATATGGTCACCCTAGTTGCAATACAGTGGAGTAGTTAGAACTTAGAAATTTAGTTTTGACGTTTTGAGGGTTATTATGTTTTAAGCAAAATTTTTAAGCCTCATACAGTATCTTATATTTTGTCATGGCTGTAGTCATAACTCATATCACAAAATAAATAAAATTGAATGTATTTGATTGTTCATGATGTAACGCCAGGTATAAGTATAATACCACAGAATAGATTTATTTACTTATTTATTTATCTATTCTGTGATAATACTATAATAGTATTAACTATTAAATGAATACTATTATTAATACTTAATAGTACACTACCGAGTCCTCTGGATTCTGGAAGCGCTAGCATTGTTCTATGCCAGAAATGAGCTTGTTTTTGTCATGGCTACATCCTATTAGCCATGGTTGTTGAGTAATTTAATGAGAACATGATAACATTTTGAGATTTTGACGTCATTATAAGTCTATAACATGCAGGATTGTTGTGTAACCATATTATTTTGTTTATTTATAATCGCGTTGTTGTCGACGACGAATTTAAGTTTGATAACGCCACCGCGGCCCGCGGCATATCAAGAAATGAGAATCTAGTTTAGAGATATCAAAATATTATGCCCCTCTATATAGTGTACGAATGTACGATACAACGATTGACTTTCTCACTGGCCTCGGTCATAAGTCATAACCAGTAACGGCAGTAACCACTCTTGGAGGCTTTTAGTGTCGATCGGGTCGCAATTACACTTCGTCCGCCCCCAACTCGGCCGTCTGGACTTGATATCAACCGTTTATTTCGTCGTCTGTGTCCTTCCTGTCCGTGAACGTCATTGATCACACGTGTGAAAACATGAGTGTCGACATGGTGGAAGACGGTCAGGTAACAATCATAATTGATAATGTCCGACAAAGTGACTTTTACTTAATAGTACCTATTAAAACATATATCTCTCGTATTATGTACCATTGATAGATTAATACAAAAATGGCGAATGTGAGAGGATTTTGATGTTACCAATGTTAGACAATACTCTTAGTTATATCAATTGAAATTAGATATTAATATCATTTATTTCACTATACCCTGCTGACCTGGAAGCAATTAGCAATAAAATACACTGAGCAATCGTTGAAATGAGACTAGTTTAGAAGTGTTAACATGTGTAGTAGGCTGAAGGATTGATATTATAAATTTAGTTGAGTAATCATAAATAGTTATACACATACCTATAAGGTATGACTATGATAATACAGGTTCAGGATAAATGTAAGATTTCACACATGTCTGGGATTTATGTATATTATAACTAGGGCTGGGATTTTAATGCCCTAAAAACCCCCGAAAAATGTCCTAAAAAAAATGCTTTTATGCCCTAAAAACCCCCGAAAAATGTCCTAAAAAAAATGCTTTTATGACCTAAAAACTCTAAATAATGCCCTAAAAAAAACCGAAAATGCCCTTAAAAATTGCTTTTATGAACTAAAATTTTTACATTTTACTTTTGGCATTTTTATATTAAATTACCAAAAAAAATTAACCTGAGTAATAAAACGGTGTTAACCACGACAAAACTCGTACTGAACGGTCTGAACGTCGAACGATATCATCGGACGTCGATTTTACCGATTTAAGATTATTTAACAGGAAATGCGGGTAGAGGTTACTCGATAATACTCCGATAATGGCGACAAACCGATAATATAATACAAATTACGAGTACCTACTTATAATCTGTTATATTTATTTAAAAACCATGTTGGTGTAAAAATCTTAAAATAAAATTTCAAATTCATGYACTTGGTTTCCAAAAACTCAAAAAATGCTCCAAAAACTCTAAAATGCCCTAAAAAATTAAGAAAATGACCTAAAAACTAAAAAATGCCAAAAAATGCAAAATAAACTTTCTTATTCTTATTMAAATGTACATAAAACAAATTYGYGACAAGATGAGCATTGCACAGTAAGCTTTGAAAAACAATGCTAAGTGCATCGAAATCCCAGCCCTAATTATAACGATGAAATATAAATATTTTAATGGTGGTAACTATGACCAAATTAAATGTAATGATGCTTGTTTGTGTTTAGGATGAGGAGAATTCGGCATACGGTAGCTGTGAGGGTCCAGATGCCATGTATGTCAAACTGATCTCAAGTGATGGGCATGAGTTTATTGTTAAACGGGAGCATGCTTTGATGTCGGGCACCATAAAAGCCATGTTGAGTGGGCCTGGCCAGTTTTCAGAAAACGAAACAAAYGAAATCCATTTCAGGGAAATACCGTAAGTGGCAGTGGCGTTGACCACTATATAAATGTGTAATAGAGTACTTTTTAAAACAAGTCTAAACAATTATTTTTTTTTTATCTTTAGTTCTCACGTTTTACAAAAGGTTTGTATGTACTTCACATATAAAGCTCGTTATACAAACAGCTCAACCGAGATTCCAGAGTTCCCTATTCCACCACAAATCGCTTTGGAACTTCTGATGGCAGCCAATTTTTTGGATTGTTAATGTTGAGTAATAAAAACAGATATTTACAAACTATTAAAATTTCAGAATTTAAATTCTTAATCTAAATTTTTTAAACATTCTTGTATCCATTATCTTGATACTTTAAATATAATTGGAATGGTAAATAATAATTTATAGTCAATATTATTTAATGTAACTATATAATATGTGGGCACAGATTTACATAAACTAATGTTTTCTAATTGGTTTCTTTATTATTATTTTTTTTTGTTCGACAATTTCATTATTACTATACTTTTTGTATTAATATATATATATATTTATGAATATTTATAGCTATATTAAATTTTGTTGTTTTTTTTTAATAATTTAGTTATCTATAATGAACTTTATACATTTATTTACTGACAAATAAATTTAGTATGACATTAATTTGATATTTAAGTGTGCCACATAAATAAATACTCTACATAATACAAAAAACAACTTCTTTAATCACCAATTTTAAATATATTATATTTTTAAGCACTAAAATATTATACTTAAAAAAAAAATAATTGAAAAATTTATCAAATTTCAAAATGTTATTAATAAGGTAACAGGTATATAGTAGGTATTTAGTAATGATTAGTGCCCGGAACTTGATGACCTAAAAATCTTTAAAAAAATGCACTTAAAAAAATATTATGACTTATAAACATTAAAAAATAACTTAAAAAAACGACCACAAAAAACAAAAATTTCTTTATAATTTAAAAAATAAAAATTATTGTATAAATAATTTTAAAAATTTTGTTTTACAAAATTATAATTTTACATAATGGTTCTTATAAATTTATAATTATTATTAATTTTATTTTTATACATTAAATATGCTTTTATTAATTAAACAATTAAAATTTAATTTATGTTTTTACCTTTAAACAATAAATGTGTTATACTGAACGATTAAAGTGTGCTTAATATTTTCAAATAAAACAGATCAGCGATAACACACGTGTGCACCAGGCCTAACATAGTATCTGCCAATAGTTAATTAAATAATCATAGATTGCGACAACAAACGATGAAGATAATGAACGTTGATAATCGACAAGGTAACGGAAACTGAATATGTGTTACGATAAAGTGTAACATTCAACTAGAAAAATGCAAATAACTGTAAAAAAAGTACAAAAATTAATAAAATGCACCAAAAATACTAAAAAATGACTGTAAAGCAATAAATTTCCTAAAAAATGCAAAATAAAAATTGTACCATTAAATTCTATATTCCATGAATCAAATTTCCGTAAAGACGAGCCTCGTATATAAGCATTAGAAATTTAGAAAAAAAGATGCAAATGCATCAAGTTCTGGGACCTAGCAATGATATATATATACTTTTTATATTGAGCATAATCCATAAATTAGATATAATGACTAGTATCATTTTGTTCACATACTTTTGGAATTCAAAAGTATATAATGGTATATTATCAACATGTGACTATGTTGGGAAAATGGAATTATTGTTATATAATATGTAAAAATATGTGATATCAAGCTGCTCATTTTATTATAAATCAATGGAAACAAATCTATCACTTGTCTAAATCAAATTATTTAGTCAAAGTAAAAACTTTTATTCACATATTATAAATCCAAGCCCTAGTAATAACAATTAGTACTTAATTAATATAAATACCTTTTGTTGATATTTTAAATCTTAAAATGAATGGAAAGTTAAATTTTAAATAATACATGTTAGTTGTTAATGTATTATATTATATTATTTATTCAATAATTTAGAAATGAATTAGGTTTAATTTTTACTATATTATAGCATATATGTACATTCTAAATACTAACATAATTTTACATACCATGAAGTTATATTCATACCTTGCTGAAGCCAATTAATTATAGAATTTAAACGTTATTGCTCATGAGCTGACCTGGTAATATTATATTGTCGTAAAAGTAATTATTTATGATTTAGGAATKAATTMATTTAGTATAATCTATAATAAATAATATAACATTTAAAATGTTTTTTTTTATTTATACAGCCATAATTATAATGTTATCACTGACCTTTAAAATGTCTGTTACTTTCTTACCCTGTCACTATTACTAATACTTGTATATAGCAGAATTCACGTAACACTAGTTGACTTCAGAACCAATATGTTTACTTAAACAAACAATAAAGTATCAATACATACAATCAAGCATGTACCAACTGGTTAACTAACTGATCAACATGGAGCCTAAACTATTAAAGCTATATGAATTATGGACTTGCAAATAATTATTAAGTTCCAGTAATTCGAAATTTAAAAAAATACATGAGAATTCTAACATGCAAGCAATGACTGATTAGAAATAATTTAGATCCCATCTGCTATGAAAAATTAAGTTTTGTTGTTATCTCCATCTTACAATGTGTAGACCCTAAATAATGATTAAGTATAAGTCTGTGATCCGGTATTACCCTAAAAATTAGACGTAAATGATTATCATTTTAATTGTGTTTATATTTTATTATGGAATGGTGCATATTGATGATCATTGTCATTATTAAAGCAAAATAAACACAATGGCATAAGTCATGTTAGAAATAAATACAAATATAATTAGTGCTACTGAATGTTAAAGATGTAAAATATTCTATTTTTTATTATTTCATCTCTATCAATCAAATTCTTAATAATAATCTGTTATATTACCTACAGATTGTTTGATGTGGACATTGCATCAGGGGCGTCATTTCAGGTTTTTTTTTCGGGTGTGTGAAGTTTCAAGCAGGCCATTTTGAAATTTCAGTATTTCACCAGGCCATATAAAAATAGATATACATACGTATTATGTATATTATCCTGCATTCAATTATTTCCATACATTATAGACCGGTTATTACAATTTGATTTTAATCATATAAATAATTGTGCATCCGTGGCTCGTGCATTATTTTAGGYATCAGCAAGGCGCAGGCCAATATTGTAACATTCTAAAAGTAAGGGGTGCAACCGTGCACCCTGCCACCCCCAAATGACGCCTCTGCATTGCATATACATCAATATAATACTGAATATATTACCTTATTATTTAGTCATTTGTCAAAAATATTTTATTTTTATTCTTATATCAGTTGTTCATCTTTAATAAAATCAACTTCTAAAGAATTTTTAATTCTATCTTGTATTTTATTCAATGTTATTGATACATTGTGAATATATTTAAGTATAGGTGTAATCTCTCTAAATTTTAGGGTACCGAAGTGTAATGACAATTGTTTGGATCATAGAAAATTCTTTAATTTTTTATAAAAAGGTCAAAAGTTATCGTCATTACCCCTATATTTTAATTATTATTGATCTGTGCCGTAACTACCCTCTGTGGCGCCTTTAGTGAATTTTATTTGGCACTAATTTTTGTTTTATTTCATAGGTATAGTTTTTGTGTAAATGTAATAATTAGGGGCTGGATTTATATGAAAATGCATATTCTTGTACAATTGTCGTTGAATAATTTTGATATTTGATTATAAATATCGACGTTTCGTTATGTGTAGACTGTAGAGCCTAGGGTTATTATTTTTTTTTTTGCATATTTTTGCAGTTTCGAAATCAGCGTTGAAAAACACGTTGTTTTTTTTAAATCGAAATTAGTGAGGTGCGTGGTAAAGTGCATTTGTTCCGTCATTTTTATACATAATATATAAATATATTGTTAATTTCACTTAATTTGTAAAAAAAATCATTTTGCATATTTATGATATAAATCTGCATATTTTATAAATTTTTTTGCATATAAATACGGGCCCTATTAGTAATATTACACTCTTTCGTGATAATCAAAATACTGTTTTTAAATAATTGAGTCTTAATTAATTGGTCAATTAGCTAATTTTAATTTCAAAAACAATAAATATAAACCAAAAATACTACTATACTGATAGCGTGGTAAGGCGGTGTCTGATTTACTGATGCCTGATATTTGGACCACGGTTGTAGCGTTGTAGATAATACATCAACAACCATCTACAACCGTGATTTTGTGATGTTGTAGCTTGTAGCACGTTATCATCACCGGGTTGGCGGGTTGCGTTGTTCTGTTTGTAATGTTTGTATTCTATTTTCTAATTTTCCATAGCACTAGCGCCAATTCATGATAAATTAAATGTATTTATTTATCATGCGCCAATTATAGCATATGGGCATTTGAGCAACAGCTGAACTAGACGTGTTAGACGCTAGTGAAGTAGTGAGTGTCCCCCGTAAAGTGAAAACTGTCCAGCCACCAGTGATATTGCCTGTCAATAATAATATTATAATTGTTCTCGTTATTGGCCGGAATATTTCACCTCGAGTTTTGGTCTTTTGATCATCAAACGGTYCCGAGTTTTGATCGAAAAACATGATCGTCGACGAGGTTCAAGAGGATGAGGTACCTAATAGAATTGTAAAATATATTAAAAATGTATTTGCTAAATTATACTGTAAACTTATTTAAGATATATTTGTAATTTAGAATGGGTACTGCAGTTGCGACGGTCCAGAAGCTTTGTACATCAAACTTATCTCGAGTGATGGGCACGAATTCATCGTCAAGCGAGAATATGCTTTGATGTCTGGCACGATCAGAGCCATGTTGAGTGGTCCTGGTCAGTTTTCAGAAAATGAAACAAATAAAATCCACTTTAGGGAGATACCGTAAGCAATAACAATATTGTTGGACAGACAATACCAGAAGTGTTGATATTATGATTTCCTCTTGTTTAGCTCACACGTGTTGCATAATGTCTGTATGTACTTGACATACAAAGCTCGTTATTCAAATAGCTCTACAGAAATACCAGAGTTCACCATCAAGCCACAAATCGCTTTGGAACTACTGATGGCCGCCAACTTTTTAGACTGTTGAGTGTGTTTACTGCCCATATCAAAAGATTATTACTTATTTGTATTTCAAAAATAATAAGATTTCAACTTTAAGTTTATATAACTATCATCTAGTCTATCCTTCATTCTTACCTTTATAAACAATTTTTCTACTAAATAATAAAAGTAACAACCACATAAAATTATAATATTATAGTATTGTAATTATAGCATTATAAAATATAGCTCAAGTTTAGTTTTAAAATACTTTTTCAAAATGTTTTTTTTATATATCATAATACAAATGAGTTTAATTCTATTACTTGATTTATTATTTAATTCCTATCTTAAGTACACCATTTAAATTATGTCATATTAATACATTTTAATTTAAGATGTTGCTGAATTTTAATTCAGATATATGAACAAAACAGTAACTTTTCCAATTTAAGGCTTTATTTTGTGTATTTCATAAATGGTGACAAGTCCTTAAGTTTTTTGTTTTAAATTAATAATATTTGTTATTTGAATCTAGATTTTCAAGAAGTTAAATAATTTAGCATATTATATCAAGTAGGTAAACATAAAAAAAAAAAAAAAATAGAGAACCTAAGACCTAATCATCAAAAAAAATACCTGGTATTTTTAATTTGTTAATTTTTTTATGATATTATGTAATAATAGCAGTATAAGTGGTGTATGGACTTGAATATTTCTTATAAATAATGTGCAAAAATTTCATTTTTTAGCATTAAATAATTTAATTTGGTCTTGTAAATGATGTGCAATAACTAACAAATAATGATTTTTTAATATTTTTTTTAATTACCAATAATATTCAAAAACGATCATAAAGTAAAGACTATTTGTACTTAATTTTTTGATGAACAAAAATGATACTATCGAGCGAATCTGTAACAATTTTGTTTTTGCTACGAAGTATAATGAAAATCACTCACAAATCACATCGCCTAATGAATAAAAATTAAAAATGACTACTCCCCTAAACATTGAAGTTGGAGATGCCGATTGAAGTTGTTCATCATGTGACATCCTTCTTTCAATCAAACATATAATGAAGAAATGTCATACCTACACTCGGAACTAATGCTAAACTTCTTGAAATAAGAAAAGCTATTAGAATCTCTTGATCACAGAATATTGTCTCTCACAGTCACCATCGACTTCATCATAAAAGCAAATCTACAAAACAAATTGTTAACTATAGAAATGCACATACTCTTTTTCCTAATAATTTTGTTTACTAGCAAATAGTACTCTCTTAATTCTCTTTATCTTTCAATCATTAGAATTAAGTCTACTCAGTAAAATAATATTTGTTTTGCGATGACCTGTGTTATCTTGGGTATTTTTATTAATAACAATTAAATAATAAAATTGGATTTATTGTGTAACTAGCTATCTAATTTAAAATAAATTCAATAATTTATATCAAAATTTCAACTCTGTTTATATTTTAATGGATATAATATGGTTGTGAATAAAAATACCTAAATTTCTATTAAAATACTGTTGTTTATGGAGTCAGCTATCTGCAAAAAAGATATCTACCATTTATTAGTATTTTGTTGTAGTTTGCGAAACTTGGACTCAAGTGCAAGACAAAAAAAGTTTGTAAAATGGTTAGTTATAACTCTGGAGAAGACTACTTACTCCATATTAGCTGGGCTGCAAGGAAAAGCAATGCAGAAATTCTAGAAATGGTAGGAGAGAAAAGAATTCATGTATATCGAAGATCACTAAAATTTTGGAATAGGAGACACCTCATAAGATAAGATTCCTTCTAGACAAGCATATTGGAATGAAGAATCATTGTTTGAAAGGAAGGAGAAAACCGAGTAAGAGATTTATAGGAGAGATGGTTCAATGGTAGAAATGACTGAATGCTAACATACCCACATATAAAGACCAGCACCAAAGAGAAATAATAGGAGTCAACTTTTGCTTTAAGGCAGAGCCTTTAGTAAAAAGATAAGAACAATAGGTATATGAAATATCCATTTATAACAATTTAAGATAGCTATCTAAAATATTGTATAGGGTATAAACTCCATATAGACCAGAGTGACTTAGCTGCGTTCAATATTGATTATAATTACCGACATGGGTAATCATAAAATACTGTTGTTACAATACTTAACATTTGCCTCTTTAATATTGTAGGTAGGTACACTTTTGTAAGTAAACAACAAAGCCTTAACTGTGATTATAATAAATAAAAAATTAAATAAATAACATATTAATTTGATTTACATTATTTTTTTATTGAATAAGTATTGCATGCATGAATTAAGTATTACAATATAGTAGGCAGAAGTAAAACACTGTTCATACCTAAAATACACGACACAATATATTTAAATTTTCATACGAATATGGGTAGTAATTTTTCAATCATGATCACCGTGAATGCATGATTGTTATACGTTTATAGTTTCCGTTTGTTCGACACATTGACATTCATGGTTGAAATGGTTACTTTGTCTACTGGCCTCCAAATACTGCAAGATTTCGGGTTTCACCAATTGCCATATTAGTGCTAATATCAATGTTATGAAGTACAAAAACATAAAAAATATGAGTATGAATTTAAGATTATCCATGTTTCTACGTTCCAGTTCCACAATTCCACAGTGAAGGCGATCCGTTGAAAACTATAGATTATAGAGTCAGTAACTAGATACCGATGGTAATTATACTATTCAGCAAATACTCCAATGCAATAATGAGCGAGCAAAACTGAGTAAATTTTGACTAAATAGTAATTATTAAATAGTGTGATTGTCGACTTATGGACTACAAAGAAATGTAATACCAGGTTTGTGACCATTGACCAGGCCAAGTCAGGTTAGGTTAGGTGAAGATAGTAGGTGGTGGGCAGTAGATGGCGTTCTGGCCGCTAGGTACACCCTTATCAAAATACCTTTATTATGTTCATGCGGACTACAGCCTGCTTCTGGTATACAGTTATGAATTTTGATAATACGATACCTATATAAACAAGCGGCAATTTAAGGAACGTGTTTTAAGCCCACTTGTCAACCTATTCGTATATTCAGGGATGTATTTAGCCTTTGATAAGGTGGCAGGGGGTATATGCGTGAATATAGTTTAGAGGGCTGAACTATCCAGAAGCATACCACGTATTGTATGATAACAATTTGTTCAACATTCTATTAGTATAGCGTTAGCCGTTAGACGTGTCCTGAACTATCGTTCATAGACGATTTGCTTTAGGCGTATTGCACGAATACAATGATTTTTTCATTGAAAACTGAGTTGGCAGTAAATTGTATTGTTACCAGGTAATAAAACAATAAAAGCGTTCACGACTTGTTTCAAGTCTACTTAAAAAAATTAAAATCAGATGTAATATACCCATTTTATCATGTTATTTCATGGTATTTTGATTTTTTATACATAATTGAGGTTAAGAGGACGCCACACCCGCATGTGTTGTCTCCGTCTTACAARCGTATAACATRGCAAAATCTGTTTAGCGCGGGACAACTTTACTCCCTTTGTATTTATAGTAGAATTACTAAAATTTCACAACGCAAGAACTCAAGAACTTTATCTGTGTCATAGCGTCGTTATTTTTTTGATAACATAAATATAATTAAAGTTATAAGCTTAAGAAAATRCATTTATTTTTTAWTTTTTYATTAAATTACTTAAAATTATTGGTTTGTGCTATCAAAAAAAATAACGACGCTATGACATAGATAATGTTCTTACCTATACGTTGTGAAATTTTGAAAATTCTATTATAAATATTTAGGGAGAAAAGTTGTCCCGCGCTAAACAGATTTTGCTATGTTATACGTTTGTTAGACGGAGACAACACATGCGAGTGTGGCGTCCTCTTAAAATGTTTTAGTTAAGCTTTAACTTGGGCTAAATAGACTCTGTAATGCCATTAGAGTTACTCGGGATGATAAATCGGTCAATATAAATACATCTTCCAGAAGATTAAACAAATAAGAACTATAAACATTTTTTTTTACAATCCTTAAATTGGTTCAGGGTTCAGATTGGGTTACCAATATATAAGTACCTACAATGGTTACCAATATCGTCATGAATGTTTATTTATTTCCGTCGGTTTAATAATTATAAATACTAATTATTTTAAACGGTATACACAATATTGACATATGGAATGATGTGGAAATTGTAAAGGTTCAGACTATGTAGGTATCTACTATATAACATTGTCGTCAAAGTACGGTGTCGGGTAATAGGCAGCAGAGATTTAGTGGTTGGAAATTGTTAGTAGCTTAGTACAAACGTTTATTTAATTTTTAAATTAATAKTGAAATACTTTGTATAATAATAGATCTTATCGAATCTAAGTAGGTACCTATACAGACAAATTAATACATTAGAAATAATATTTTTAACTATTATTTTAGTCCTTTAAAATAAAATATCAAGTTAGGACGTTATAGGTAAGAATAGATAACTAGAATTTCATCTAGATAATTTTCAGCTCAGCTATATTTATATTTATCGAGATGAAACAAAAGATAATCAATTTCTAAAATACGAGCGTTTTTTTTACCATAGGTATAGAAACAAAAGATAATCAATTTCTAAAATACGAGCGTTTTTTTTACCATAGGTATAGAAACAAAAGATAATCAATTTTGATCTTAATAAATTTATCTAGATATTTCCCAACATTGCTTTGGGGGAGCAAGAGCTTAGCATTMACCAGCTACCCTAAGTTGCACTTGAAATACTGCATGGACATTAATTATATTAAATATTACAATCGATAACATCGCAACATATTCCATTTTGTAGATTATGAAATTATGATATCATTATAACATTATATGTGGGTGTCATCTATGAAAATATGAAAAGAATTGCAGCATCTGATCTCCCACAGCCCACAGTCATAACTTTGAGGTGCTGAGTATATATGTATAGAGACAACAATCATAATTATTCATTAATTTTGAATATTGAATAATAGCTATAATATCTGAAAAATGTGTTAAATCAAACCCGTTTTTTAGATTAAGATAGGCAATATAGTATGTAGTTTTTTTGCTGCGAAGCAGTGCCGTCCCGAGGGCAGGGCAAACGGGGCACATGCCCTGGGTCTCGCGTATAAAAAATAAAATAATATATCGTGTAAATAAAATATTTCCAAACATTTTAGCATGTAATATTGTAAGTCCAGGGCCTCAAATTCTAA